TTTTCTCCAACAAAAGACATTCATTTCTGTAGTTCACTGCTAACAGCAAGCAGAAATATTCCTCCTCCCGATGATGGCCATTTCGGTCGAAACTAGTCGAGGAATCTAAATGGAATAATAATAATAATAAAAAAACGAAAAAATATTAATCTACAACCCAGTGTGTCTAATGATTTTAATTTTTATTTTCTTATTGTTCAATATATATATATATATATATATATATATATATATATATATATATATATATATATATATTATTTGAATAAAAAGACAGACCACGTTAAGATTCCATGTAATAAGCTATTTCACCATAACCCCTTTAATAGGGTTCTGGATCATCAGACTTTACTTCGAAAAGCTGAAATGAAGAATGAAATGAAGAATGAAAAGACAATTCACAGGTTTTTTTACGGAACTCATCAAGTATACGCAAAGTTAACGAAGTGGGGAAGTGAGGTGGGAGAGAGGATGTGGGAAGTAAAGTCTGATGATCCAGAACCCTATTAAAGGGGTTATGGTGAAATAGCTTATTACATGGAATCTTAACGTGGTCTGTTTTTTATTCAAACATATCTGCTCTGAATTTTACATTGAGCTCTCTGGATATCATCCTCCTCAGGTCTACCCATACGGATTACCTAAATTTGCATAAACTCTCTCTCTCTCTATATATATATATATGTGTATGTATATATGTATGTATGTATGTATAATAAAATAAATATAGAGAAATATAACGATAGATAAACATCAATACAGATAGATAGTTATCCATACAATGCAGATAGATAAATAGATATAAATACAAGTGTATATACATACATACATACACACACACACACACACACATATATATATATATATATAATAAAATAAATGCCGAGAAATATAGCGATAGATAGATGAACATCCAGATAGATAGATAGATAGATAGACATACACACATACATGCAGAAAGACAGATAGATAGACAAACATACAGATAGATAGATAGTTATACATACAATGCAGATAGATAGATATAACTACAAGTGAATATATATATATATATATATGTATATGTATATATATATATATATATATATATGTGTATATATATATATATTTATGCATATATATATATTATAAAAGTAAATATAAATAAATATTCCGATAGATAGATGAACATCCAGATAGATAGATAGATAGATAGATAGATAGATAGATAGATAGATAGATAGATAGACATACGTGCAGAAAGTCAGATTGAAAGACGAACATACACATATATAAATAGTTATGCATACAATGCAGATAGATAGATATAAATACAAGTCTATACACACACACACACACACACACACATATATATATATATATATATATATATATATATATATATATATATATAGAGAGAGAGAGAGAGAGAGAGAGATGCATACGTATATAGTTGGGGAAAGAAATAATCGTACACATAGAAAATTGCAATTTATTGTTTTCCCAACTAATGAATAAACATACTTCACATATAATTAACTGTACACAGATGCATAATAACTAAATATGCATAGAAAACACACACAAAAAGTAATTTTATAGAAATAAATCCCATTTATCCGTTTCAATAGATGAAAATGTATTCGTACAATGCAAATTTTAGATTTTAAAACTATTAAATTGCTTTAATACGTTAGATGATTCAAGTAAAATATTCTAGAATGTTTCACTAATGTTATCAGTAGTTATTTCTAGGCTAAAATTTAAAACAGTACATTGGATATTCCTGCAAGAAGTTTATCATCATGGCAAAAAGTAAATAATTGTTAAATTCCCAGAAAGAACTGATTGTTAAGCTTTGGAAAGAAGGTAAAAGTTACAGGAAAATCTCAGACAACCTGAATATTCCATTTACTACCATTAGTTCATTCATTGCAAGGTATAAAAACTCAAAAACTGTTGAAAACCAAAAACAGGTGTTCCATGGAAGACTTCTTTAAGATCTTTGAGGAAATTAATGCGTCAAATTAAATTATATCCAATGATTGTTCGTCAAGAGTTGCAGGATAATTTGCTTTCATCTGGAATCTGTGTCACTGAACGGATAATAAGCAATGAAATTCATAGGAACAATTTAAAGTTATCCACCCCTCGGTAAACTTTACTACTATTGTAAAGACACAGAGATGATAGGTTGAAATCTGTTCGTGATAAGGAAACATCGTATTGGGAAAGAGTATTATGGACAGACGAAACCAAAATTGCGTTGTTTAGACATAATTCTAGAAATCAGTTATAGAGGAAAGATGGCGATGTCTTCAAACAAAAGAATATTTGGTGGTAGCAGCATCTTGGTTTGAGGATGTTTTATTTTTCTGCAAAAGTTATTGGCAATATATTAGCAAAAGATGGTAGAATGAATGCTGCAGTGTATCAAAATATTTTGAAAGCAAATTTAATGATTTCGTTTGAAAATCTTAAACTTCCTCTTATTTGGATCTTCCGACAAGATAATGATACTAAGAACACTGCAAAATCAACGAATAAATGGCTTGCCGAAAATAATGTAAATATCCTGAAATGGCCAAGTCAGTCTACAGATTTAAATCCAGTCGAGTATCTGCGGCGTTATTTGAAAATTCAAATCCAATCGAGAGTACCAAACAAATATCCCGAACCTGAAGACCATATACAAAGAAGAATGGAACAAATTTTCAAATCATTAATTGAGAAATACAGGAAGGGGTTGGTTGCTGTAGAATTGAATAATGGCTATTCTACAAAGTATTAAATGAAGATTGTGTATTCTTTTTTTGTATTGTACGAATACTTTTTTCACCGATTAAGATGGATAAATGGTATTTATTTCTAGTAAATTTCTATGCATATTTAGTTATTATGCATCTGTGCACAGTTAATTATATGAAAAGTATTTTTATTCATTAGCCGAAAATAAAATAAATTAAAATTTTTTCTGTGTGTGAATATTTGTTTCCTCCACTCTCTCTCTCTCTCTCTCTCTCTCTCTCTATATATATATATATATATATATATATATATATATATATATATATATATATATATATATATATATATATATATATATATATATATATATATATATATATATATATATATATATATATATATATATATATATATATATATATATATATATATATATATATAAATATATATAAACAGTAAAAGTTAGATTTGTCCGGAGAACGGTTGTATAAAAGAGTGCTCAATGCAAAAAAGAAAATCTGAATGTCCAGAGCTATTAAATATCAACGGCAGGGAATACTAACCACTCACGCTACCATGGTTTCTATCGGTAAGGTTTCTTCAGGCTGTGGAGGTTAATAGTCATTCCCGAATCTCCACCATCTGAAGAAATACATACAATATATATATATATATATATCCGCGTATATTTTGGCAGCATGTTTGCATTGAGATATGTTTCGTTGAATAATTTAGACATGTTCTACTCATTTCGTTAACAACTCCCCACAAACATACTTAGTTACCTCCCCTTAAACCTTGTCATCGTTCAGGTAATTACTCAGCGTTTTTCACTCTATAAGTAAGAAATTTAATTGCATGAAAAGTATGTTTATTAATTACTTGGATATATAATAAATTGATGATTTCTATGTGCAGGGATATTTCTTTCCGCCACTGTAGATAGATAGATATACATACATGCATAAATATATACAAATAGATAGATACACATACATATAGATAAATAGATTCATAGACGTTCATAAAAGCATAGACATGCATACATATAGATAGATAGACTTATCTCTCTCTCTCTATATATATATATATATATAAATATATATATATATATATATATATATATATATATATATATATAGAGAGAGAGAGAGAGAGAGAGAGAGAGATACATGTATGTATATCTATAAAGAGATAACTAAATCTCTCTACATATAGGTTTATCTACCTAGCTTTCATCTAAACGGATCGTCAGGAAATGCCATTTATATAATATCTATCTATCTATCTATCTATCTATCTATCTATCTATCTATCTATCTAACTCTCTCTCTCTCATTATATATATATATATATATATATATATATATATATATATATAGATAGATAGATCGATAGACGTATATAGATAGATAGATAGTTAGATAGACCTATACATACAAACACGCACATCTATCTATCTATCTATCTATCTATCTATCTATCTATCTATCTATATATATATATATATATGTAGATTTATAGATATACATAGAGTAATTCCATCGAACTGTTCAGCACTCAATGTGTTGAAGCTAAATTGTTTTGAGCAACCTGTCTTGAAGCTGAGGAGTTTCTTTCTTCCGGAAGTAGGCGGTGCCGGGCCAACCCGTTCACTTCCTATTGTTTGTTCCTGATTTTACATACAGGTGCATATATACATATAGAGCGACTCTTATAAACATGCATACATATTGATAAACCTATCTCTCTCCAATCTCTCTCTATCTCACTATATATATATATATATATATATATATATATATATATAGATGCAGATAGATAGATAGATAGATAGACAGACAGACAGATAGATAGATAGATAGATAGATAGATAGATAGATAGATAGATAGATAGATAAAGAATGGGGTGATGAGATTTAGATAGATAGATAGATAGATATGAACCGATAGATATAACAGACTGGACATAGATAGATAGATAGATAGATAGATAGATAGATAGATAGATAAAGAATGGGGTGATGAGATTTAGATAGATAGATAGATAGATAGATAGATAGATAGATAGATAGATTTACATACATTCCTAAACTGATCATCTGTGAAGCTACTCACCCCTGTCATTATCTACACTTGGAATGTTATTAATATTTCAATATTTCGACTTAATAATGTGATTATTATTAATTCATTTTTTTTCTTTTTCTTTTCAATTTAGACACCTGAACGACAATCAAATTCAAAGCGTACCGGGAAACAGTTTTCAAAATATGACGTCCCTCACAACATTGTGGCTAAGCAAGAACCAGCTGAGGTCACTTCCGTTGGAAGCCATTAACCGACTTCATTCACTTGTAGATCTGTGAGTATTTTCTCTTATTTATTATTTATATCTTTTTAACATATATCGGCATTTTCTTTACCTCTGTGTCCGTTTTTAGTATGCAATTTCTCCGTCTTCATTTAGGAACACTTGAGAAATTTTATAAAACATTAACATCACCTTGTTAGTAGTTTTCAACGAAACTTGCATATATATATATATATATATATATATATATATATATATATATATATATATCAACGCTAGTGTGTTAAATTGCCAACTAAGCACGATGCTAAGTGCAAAAGTTTGGTTCACAAGAAATATGGAGTTACAGCGGAACCCAATTTAAATAATATTATCAATTTGGCCTCTCATGAATTAACTGAGATAGAATCGTTTGTTTTTGCTCATGGGTTGGACTTTTGCATTCTACCCTCTATGCCTGACAAGGAGAAGATTTTTTTCAAAGTTCGAGGTTTTCTATGCACAGTTGGCAAGACTGTCTTCTGCTTCTGTTGATGCGGTTTGCGATTTGAAAGTCCAGTTATTCCGCACACACTTTTTCCAGTTCCTCTATTGCTGTTGCTGAATCGAAATGGAAAGCTGAATATCAGCAAGTGGGTTAATTCCCTGAGGAATAATTATGATCGAATAATTTCCAGACCAGATAAAGGTGCTGGAGTGATTATTTTAGATCGAGCAGATTATGTAGCCAAAATGTCTTCGATCTTAGAAGATTCTTCAAAATTTACCAAGCTAGGATTTGTAGATACTTGTGACGGAACTACTTCAGTTGAAGCAAAATTTCAGAAATTACTCCTGAAGTGGGCAAAGTCTGGGCTGCTTCCACAAGAAATTGCCAATGAAATCCGACCTTCTGGCTCGACTCGTCCTCGTCTGTATGGGCTCCCAAGAATCCATAAGCGGAGAGGGTGTACCATAACGACCAATTTTATAAATGATTGATTCAGCCCAACACAAGGTAGCCCAATGGCTCTCAACGCTTTTGGAACCTGTGTTGCAGTGCTTGGGTGGATTTTGCATAAAGGATTCATTTTCCTTTGTCGACCGTATTCAAAATTTGTCTTCTTCTGGCAAGTTCATGTGCTCTTTTGATGTTTGTTCTCTATACACTTGTGTCCCTCTTATGGGAACTATCAATATTTGCTGTGATTTTTTTTATCGAAGTTCATTGTCTTCACCAAGTATTCTGGAGTCAGTATTTTTTGAATTGATGAAATTTGCCACGTCCTCTGTCGAATTTAGTTTTAACAACATCATGTTTCGACAGATTGACGGGGTCGCTATGGGTTCCCCTTTGGGCCCGACACTTGCTAACATATTTGTTGTCTTTCACGAAGAAAAAATACGAAAGAATGCACTGTGTCCTCAAATGTATTGTCGGTATGTCGATGATACCTTTTGTTTATTCAACAGCGAAGTTGAGGCTGATCAGTTTCTTGCTTTTCTAAATGGTATCCATCCAGCACTGAAGTTCACTGTTGAGAAGGAATCCAATCTCCAATTGGCTTTCTTGGATGTATTAGTACATCGTACATTAACAGGTTTTCTTACCTCGGTTTATAGAAAACCAACTTTTGCGGGGTTGTATACGCGTTGGAACTCTTTTTGTCCCACTAAGCGCAAGATTAACATTATTAAAACCCTCCTACATAGAGCATTAAAAATCTGCTCTGAGCCCTTCTTGAACGATGAAATCGACTTTGTTAAGGATACCCTATGTAGTTTGGGTTATCCTCTTGATACTGTTAATTCTGTTATCCGCAGTAAGGTTGAAGAGTTCAGAATTGCCGAGCTCTACACTGTCAAAAAATGCCCAGTTTACCGCAGAGTACCCTGGATTGGTACCAAATGTGAAAAAATAGCTAAACAAATTTCATCCAATGTTCGTCGTTGTTTTTTCTCTGCCGAGGTTCGGATTATTTTTCAAACTCGGCCTATGTTTCGTTCTGCGTGTAAAGACGTTCTCCCTCCCCATCAAATTAATTCAATTATTTATAAATACGTTTGTAGTTGCGGAGCCAACTACATAGGGAGAACAACTCAGCGCTTAGACATTAGAATAAAGCAGCACGTTCCTACAAAAATTAGAAATCATACCTTGCCGTTAAATGGACTCGTCCAGAACACCTATGGTTCCGCCATATGCGAACACCTATTAAAGAACAAAGATTGTGCAGCCAAATTTAGGGTTGACTGGTTCACTTATCTGTCCCGGTGACACTCTTTATTTCACCTTAAGATGCCGGAGGCACTTTACATCGGGTCCCGCAAGCCTTCTTTGTGTAAACAACATGAGTGTTTGTTGGGGCTCGCTGTCATTTGTCTCTTGTTCCTGTTGGTCATTTTCCCTCCACAACTTCCTTTTTATTGTACATTTTCTGTGTTGTAATTTAAATTAAATCTCCCGTTGAAGCCTGAAGAGCGGGAGCGAAACCGGTTGCTTCGGCCGTTTTTAATATGTCTAGTGATATTAAGTTTTATACTTTTATTTCTATCATTAAATTTTGTACGTACAAATATATATATATATATATATGTTTATTTAGGCCGCAATCAAGCTTAATCGATTTCATATATATATATATATATATATATATATATATATATATATATATATATATATATATAATCATAACGTCTAATAAGTTTAATAACATTATCATTGAACGAAGAAAGAAAATCACAATATTGATACATATTTTTTAATCCAATCTAAGCTTTCGGCTTAGATAAGCCATTATCAAAGATGACAATTATTGTACATTATATTAAGCAATACACGGACAAGAATGTGATGATAGTCTGTTTCTGTTTACATGGATGATTTCCAAGCAACAATAAACACGTGCATATAAGATGTTGGAAGCGAAAATCACACCGCAGCTAATGATGTCAAACATGACCACGCGAGAGTGAATTCGAGAAGTATTAAGTATGGGAAGCAAATGCTAAAAACCAATGGCTTCTGTTACCAATTATAGACATTTATGAATATTTGTGGAGATTTAATAGTTTATTTTATTCAGATTAGGTTTCAACTGTTTTATGTATAAAAAAGCTAAAAATTCTTGAAGCTATATACATAAAACTGTTGAAACCTAATCTGAATAAAATAAACTATGAAATCTCTCGGCATTAAATAACCCATTGAGGTGTTGATATGCCGTAAAACAAAATATACCCAAACCTTGACCTAGAAACTGATTTCTTACAAAGAATACATATTTTATTCATAGAAACCTATTCTAAAAATCTAGTCGGCATTCAATAACACATTGAGGTGTTGATATGCCGTAAAACAAAATATACCCAAACCTTGATCTAGAAACTGATTTCTTACGAAGAATACATATTCTATTCATAGAAACCTATTCTAAAAATCTAGTCGGCATTAAATAAACCATTGAGGTGTTGATATGCCGTAAAACAAAATGTACCCAAACCTTGATCTAGAAACTGATTTCTTACAAAGAATACATATTCTATTCATACAACCTATTCTAAAAATCAAGTCGGCATTCAATAACCCATTGAGGTGTTGATATGCCGTAAAACAAAATATACCCAAACCTTGATCTAGAAACTGATTTCTTACAAAGAATACATATTCTATTCATAGAAACCTATTCTAAAATCTAGTCGGCATTCAATAACACATTGAGGTGTTGATATGCCGTAAACAAAATGTACCTAAACCTTGATCTAGAAACTGATTTCTTAAAGAATACATATTCTATTCATACAAACCTATTCTAAAAATCTAGTCGGCATTAAATAACCCATTGAGGTGTTGATATGCCGTAAAACAAAATATACCCAAACCTTGATCTAGAAACTGATTTCTTACAAAGAATACATATTCTATTCATAGAAACCTATTCTAAAAATCTAGTCGGCATTCAATAACACATTGAGGTGTTGATATGCCGTAAAACAAAATGTACCTAAACCTTGATCTAGAAACTGATTTCTTACAAAGAATACATATTCTATTCATAGAAACCTATTCTAAAAATCTAGTCGGCATTAAATAACCCATTGAGGTGTTGATATGCCGTAAAACAAAATATATACCCAAACCTTGATCTAGAAACTGATTTCTTACAAAGAATACATATTCTATTCATACAACCTATTCTAAAAATCTAGTCGGCATTCAATAACCCATTGAGGTGTTGATATGCCGTAAAACAAAATATACCCAAACCTTGATCTAGAAACTGATTTCTTACAAAGAATACATATTCTATTCATAGAAACCTATTCTAAAAATCTAGTCGGCATTCAATAACACATTGAGGTGTTGATATGCCGTAAAACAAAATGTACCTAAACCTTGATCTAGAAACTGATTTCTTACAAAGAATACATATTCTATTCATACAAACCTATTCTAAAAATCTAGTCGGCATTAAATAACCCATTGAGGTGTTGATATGCCGTAAAACAAAATATACCCAAACCTTGATCTAGAAACTGATTTCTTACAAAGAATACATATTCTATTCATAGAAACCTATTCTAAAAATCTAGTCGGCATTAAATAACACATTGAGGTGTTGATATGCCGTAAAACAAAATATACCCAAACCTTGATCTAGAAACTGATTTCTTACAAAGAATACATATTCTATTCATAGAAACCTATTCTAAAAATCTAGTCGGCATTAAATAACCCATTGAGATGTTGATATGCCGTAAAACAAAATATATACCCAAACCTTGATCTAGAAACTGATTTCTTACAAAGAATACATATTCTATTCATACAACCTATTCTAAAAATCTAGTCGGCATTCAATAACCCATTGAGGTGTTGATATGCCGTAAAACAAAATAAAAACAAAGCCTGATCTACAAAGTGATTACTTACAAAGGATACATATTCTATTCGTACAAACCTAAACTAAAAATCATGTTTCGCATTAAATAACGTATTGAGATGTTGACATGAGACAAAACGAAATAAACCCGAACCTAAACCTGAAGCCATAATTTCTGGCTAACTCAACAGCAGAAATATACACACAAAAATATCTATCTATCTATCTATCTATCTATCTATCTATCTATCTATCTCAGTCTGTCCATTATCTATCTATCTATTTCACTCTATTCATATCTATCTATCTATCTATCTATCTATCTATCTATCTATCTCATTCTTTAAATATCTCTTGCCCTCGTCTGTCAGTCTGTCTATCTCTCTCTCTCTTAGTTTTCTCATGTATCTCGTCCTCATCTATCTATCTATCTATCTATCTATCTATCTATCTATTTCACTCTATTCATATCTATCTATCTATCTATCTATCTATCTATCTATCTATCTATCTATCTCAGTCTGTCCATTATCTATCTATCTATTTCACTCTATGCATATCTATCTATCTATCTATCTATCTATCTATCTATCTATCTATCTATCTATCTTAGTCTTCTCATCTATCTATCTATCTATCTATCTATCTATCTATCTATCTATCTATCTCAGTCTTTAAATATATCTTGCCCTCATCTATCTATCTATCTATCTATCTATCTATCTATCTATCTATCTATGTCTGTTCGAAAGAGACGCATCCTCCTTCTTCCTTTCTACCACAGCCAACGCCGTACGTTTGTTTATTTAATTTTAATACTATGTAGCCTTCCTTGTTTTCTTTTCTTTTTTTTTTTTTTTAAAAAGCGTTGGAGATCAATTGATAAAAATCGCCTGAGGATACCATACAGTCGAAACCAAGGTAGCGAAATCACCTGATCTCCTATTTTTAAAGTATATATATATATATATATATATATATATATATATATATATATATATATATATATATTTATTTAAAAATTATAACATAAATATGTTATAAAATCACTACAAATAAATAATTATATCTGCTCTACTCTGTATAGTAATCGTTGGTTATTGGAATTTATTCCGTATGCACCAATCATATACTTGGGCATATATATATATATATATATATATATATATATATATATATATATATATATATATATATGTATGTATGTATGTATATAGATGAGAGAAAAGAACAGATGGTTTAAAACTCTACTGTTCTTAGAATTTACTTTAAAAATTGTGCTCAATACGAAGTCTACAATCACGATACATTTGTAGCTGGCATATTTTCCGTGATCGTCAATGATGGCTTGTCTATGTTACGGTTTATCGTGACATGAAAATAAATTCATCCACCTCCACCCTCTGAGCATACTTTTCTATTTAACGTAGATCTGACATTTAATTGGTTAATCAAGACATACCCATAAGTCTATTTTTTTTATTGTGACCTTATGCCCCCCAGACCTTTTAACTTTCCGAAAAAAAGTAACACTATCTTTTTAAAGTTCCTTAAAAATCATTTAATCACCAGTTACTTACCATCGCCTGAGGAAGTACAATCGTAGCATTGAAACATGAAAGCTTTTGTGTATCGATTTCAAAATGTTTTTATTATAATCTCTTATAATAATTATAATAATAATAATAATAATAATAAAACAATCAAAGCCAACCGCCCAGATATTCTAATTAAAGACCACAAACAAAAAAGTGCCTCCTTATTGATATGGCAGTCCCTGCTGACTGCAATGTATCTTTGAAGATATTCAAAAAGCTGTCAAAATATAAGGACCTTGAAATAGAAATCTAAAAAATGTGGTACATGGGAAGATCAACAATCCCTGTTGTAGTTGGAGCCCTAGGACTGGTTGGCAAATATTGCAGTAGACTAATTGAAGGGATTCCTGGAAGCCCATGCCTCAAAGAAATACAAAAAATTGTTCTGACAAGTACAGACCACACCTTACGAGGGGCTTTATCTATCTATCTATCTATCTATCTATCTATATATATATATATATATATATATATATATATATATATATATATATATATATATTGTTAGTGGAAAGTGTCATGATGCCATTTCTAACCTTAGGTCCCTGGGCGGGACCCGAAAAGAAATGTGTAAACGCCAGAAATCAAAAAAATAAAAAATAATAATAATAATAATATATATATATATATATATATATATATATATATATATATATATATATATATATATATATATATTTACTAACGGTGATATTTGTGTTTATGATGTAGATTTGTTGAAGTTATATTTTGGAATACGGTTTGATTTCATTAAGAAATTGTAGGATATTATATGGATTAATATCATGAAAGAGTTCTTTCATGATGGCTGTTTGTTTGACTTTGTTTAGCGGCATATCAACACCTCTATGGGTTATTTAATACTGAAATGTAAATATTTTGAACACAATTGTATGCCTTCAACTATAGGTAAAATGTATTGTTAGTCATTTTACTGTAAATACGTATTGTTAGTCCTTATTTATAAAAATGCGTTATTGATGTTTTTACTGTAGTGTTTTTTTTTTTTGGTGGGGGTGCAAAATTCACCCATAACTGGGATCCTATCTGGTGTTACCCCTCCAGGCCAGAGTGTACCTAGGAGCAACATCAATTAAGTGGTGATTCCACTCTTCTCAAAACCTCCAATTTCCTGATCAGAGGCCTTGCTGCCAGGTGTAGTTTATCGTCATACCCAGGTCTCATCAAGAGCAATGGTTCTACAAGAGACCTGGCGTAATAAAATACAAGTGGGAATTTTTTTTTGATTTGCCATGTATACATTTAAGTTAATTTTGCCGCTTTGTCGAGAGATGGGGAAAACAGTTTTCGGCGTGTCAATGGGAGGGGTGAAACTCAGTTCATTTCAGCGTAATTTACCTCGATGATAAAAGCATGAATCCCCCTCCCTTCCACACAATTAGATAAAAATTAATAACAGGGTAGACTGGTTTCTAGCCTTCGGTAGCAGTCTGATAAAAACAGCTCTAAATCTTTTATATTTATTTATAAACTGTTAATAAAACTATTAAATTAAAAGAAAGCTGTGGAGAACCATATTTGGCATATTAGAAAAATTAGCGGTTTGTTGGTTTTATTTCGAGTTTACATATATATTTTTATTTAAATCGATTTTATTGCTTTCGCAATATTTCGTTTCTGTTGATTTTAACATTGGAATATTCAATTCTAATAGTGTTAATTATCCATGCCGGTTAGTTATTTTATTTTAATTTTGTTTTCGTCTTTACAGGATAAATCAGGTTGTTTTCTTTTTGAAAATCCAATGTGGCAACCTATATACATTCCAGAAATTATAATGGCGAATCTACCGCTTCCAATCGCCATTTTTCATTTGTTTTTTTTTTTGACACGTTGGTTGTCAACAAGCAAGATCTTAAAGCAGATAATGGAAAAAGAGAATACACTTCTACAAATCAACATCGCAATTTTATTTTTTATTTTACTTAAATGCAGTGACAAATCTTAGAAGAATAGTCCTTTATTTATGGCAAATTACGACGAGGTGCTGAAAATTTTCGCATGTACCTACTTTCAAAAACCTATCTATCTATCTATCTATCTATCTATCTATCTATCTATCACAGCAGCCTTTTCATATCTGGCAATGCCTTTTCATATCTATCTATCTATCTATCTATCTATCTATCTATCTATCTATCTATCTATCACAGCAGCCTTTTCATATCTGTCAATGCCTTTTCATATCTATCTATCTATATATCTACCTATCACAGCAGCCTTTTCATATCTGTCAATGCCTTTTCATATCTATCTATCTATCTATCTATCTATCTATCTATCTATCTATCTATCTATCACAGCAGCCTTTTCATATCTGTCAATGCCTTTTCATATCTATCTATGTATCTATCTATCTATGTATCTATTTATCAATCACAGCAGCCTTTTCATATCTCTCAATGCCTTTTCATATCTATCTATCTATCTATCTATCTATCTATCTATCTATCTATCTATCTATCACAGCAGCCTTTTCATATCTGTCAATGCCTTTTCATATCTGTCAATGCCTTTTCATATCTATCTATCTATCTATTCATCAGCTTTTCCTCACCTTTTCTTTAAAACTAAACAGCGCCTTTGGTATATCTTTTCTTTCATCTATCCTCGACGTCAAACATGGTTCATTGTTTATCCGCGGTAAAAGCAGAGCAGAACATACTCGCTAACTAACTATGGAGAAAGAAACACGCGTAACAACAACAACAACAACAACAACAACAACAACACAAACAATAATAATAATAATAACAAAAACAACAATAACCCCAGACCCGGTTACGGAGATAGGACTGTAACAATTTTATGGGACTACACGGATAGAACAATCAAAGCTAACTGCCCAGACATTGTTATTAGAGGCCGTAAAAAAAATCCTCATTGTTGATATGGCAGTCCCTGCAGACTGCAATGTATCTTTGAAGATATTCAAAAAGCTATCAAAATACAAGGACCTTGAAATAGAAATCTCAAAAATGTGGCACATGGCAACATCAACAATCTCTGTTGTAGTTGGAGCCCTCGAATTGATTGGCAAATATTGCAGTAGACTAATTGAAGGGATTCCTGGAAGCCCATGCCTCAAAGAAATACAAAAGACAGTTCTCACGAGTACAGAACACACCTTACGAAGGGCTCTATGTAAAACATGTGTTTGTTTGTTTTTTTTAATTGCTCAGTGGAAAAAGTCATGATGTCATTTTTGACCTTAGGTCTTTGGGCGGGACCCGGAAAGAAATGAGTACACACGAGAAATCAAAGAAATAATAATAATAATAATAATAATTGTTATGGTCCAGGTTAGAACCAAGGAAAAACAACACGAACGCAATAGTAGAAACAACGAAGTTATATTACACGAAATAATAATACAAGATGTTAGTATGACTGTCAGTCTGGTTTGGTGCGAACTACTATTGGCTCGACTCGATTCGGTATCTAGCCCCCCCACCACCACAAGGGTTGCATGTGGCACAAGGCCGAGTTTAACGTGGGTTTCCCGAGCCAAAAAATGCCCGTACAACCCGTATAAACGGGATCGGGTTGGTCAACCTCCCCGAACGAGACTCTGCCCTTCGGCTGAGCCTCGTCCGGGTTCCTCTCTGCTCAGAGGCAGAGGGTTCGACCGTCAAGCCGAGAGTCTCGGCTCGATCCGTCCCTCTCTCTTGAGAGGCGTGGTATACATAGTGTTAGGAAGAGTTCCTTCTGTAGTTATAGGTAAGGACCCATGGCAGATAGATAGATAGATAGATAGATAGTGTTATGATACAGGTTAGGACCAAGGAAGAACAACACGAATACAAGAGTAGAAATAACGAAGGTATATTAACAGGAAATAATAATACAAGATGTAGAAGGTGTTAGTATGACTGTCAGTCTGGTTTGGAGTGAACTACTATCGGCTCGACTCGATTCGTCCGCCTCTCTTGAGAGGCGTAGTATACATAGTGTTAGGAAGAGTTCATTCTATAGTTATAGGTAAGGACCCATGACAACAACAATAATAATAATTATTATTATTATTACAGTAAAAACAACAACAACAGTAATGATAAT